CAGGGAGCTCATGTACTCACTGAGGTTCTACAGTAGCAGCACTATAAATGGTTGGTTCATTTTCATGGAACCAAGCATGAAAACTCCAGTGGAAGAATATCCCAGACTTAAGTCAAGTCACCAACAAACCATTGGACAGGAAAACATGAGTCTATCTAATATAGATTATGATGTCCAGTGTGGTAGGATAGAAGCCCTAACAGAAATAGAGGTCAGGACATGTAGGTTTTAAAGGCTAAACAAGAAGTTTCAAATTTGATTTGTACTAAGTGGGAAGCTGCTGGTAGATTTGGAATGCACAGAAGACAGATACAGCAATTTTTCATCTGGAGAGTACAACCGCATTTATGAGTATGAGAGAAGAATAGTCTCATATTTGAGAAGACAACCAAGAACACTTGGGAAGGGAATCACTGTGGAGGAGATGGTGAGGGTGGTCTAGGGAAATAACTTTGTTAATGGAGCTGAAATCATGTGTTGACTAATAATTTCTAGAATATGTGGGAAAGAATCATCAAGAAGATTACTGGGGGGGGTTGTAGTTTTTTTTTCTTTATGAAGCAATACATGCATCCAGGTAAAAATTTAGACGATACAAACATACACAGAGCATAAAGTCCATATCATACAATAATATTAATGTCGTTTATAGTTTCCTAAGGAAACCTTATTTTTCCTTTGATAAGTTTTCTTTTCCTTTTTAAATTTTTATTTTTTATCTTATGAGTATGAGTATTGCTTGCATGTGTGTAAATGCACCTATGTTGTGCAGTGCCCATGAAGGTCAGAAGAGGATATCAGATTCCCTGGAACTGGAGTTATGGATGGCTGTTAGCTACCATGTAGCCATGTAGGTACTGGGATTTGAACCCAGGTCTTCTGCAAGAACAACCAGTGTTTTCAACCACTGAGCCATCTCTCCAGCTCCTAAAGTTTGCTTTTCTAAGAGCAATTTCACTCATATACACAAACTAAAACTAATAAGTTTAAAAAGCACTCTTCCACTGACCCATATTCCCAGTCCCCCCAAAACGGCATTTTCTTAAAATTTTTATTTTTGTGATGACAGAAACTTTGTAGAATATGTGGGCATCACTATAATGGGAAAGGTTGTAACTTTGAGATTGAATTATCTCTTATGCAGCTATGTGAAGATGTAAAAGCTTGAACGTGGTTATAATTGTAAATAGGAACTTGATGGTGACTGACATACAGATACTACAGAAATCCTGGAGGCAGCTGATGGCGGTAATAAGAAAGAAAGAGGCCCAGTAACTAATGCAGATTCAGAGGCCACAAGAAGGAAAGGACATAGCAAAGTAAAGGAAAAAAATTTGCCAGAGGGGAAGGTAGATAATTAGAAAATTATGGCATTCTAGACATAAGAAAAAGCAGTTCAGAAGGGACTAAGTGACCAATTTATGAAATGCTGCTAAGAAATCAAATAATGTAACTGCTCACTGGACATAGTAATAGGAGAATAAATACAGTGTAATGCTTGAAGTTCATGGAAATGACAAAGACCTGGGAAGGCAGAGGAAAATGTGAGATGGTGAAAGAACTGAGGAAAAACGATGCAGATCAGTATCTGTTAGTTACTTACTAGTCTCCGAAAGAGTAGGGGTTAATATTTTTAGCAAAAGAATGCTTGTTGACCAGATGGCTGATAAAAGATTGCAAAGAAAGGCAGTGCAGTATGAGGGTACTGGCTTCCACACAGGTCTTCTTGATGGCAAAAGAATAAGTGGCTGTAACTGTTGAAGATTTGGACATATGTAGAGACTAAGTCAGATAGTGATGTTCTGAGCAGTGTATGACTGTGTGTAAAGACATATATGATCTGGGAAGTTTGAACTTAAGGGGACTGGGCAAATCCAGATGTTGAACATAATGGGATTTGTAAATAAGGGATTTAGGGATCCCACTGTCTTGCCTGCCTGTCTGTTGGTAAAATAATGAAGCTGTTCTTCTAGGTTTAGGGCTGTTTTTGACCACAATAAAAGGATACTGCAGCTGATCCATGGCATGCTGATTGATGGTTCCCATGCTGTTATAGATGAAGGTGCTGCTGAAGAGGACTGCCAGGGCAAAGATCCAGCAGTCGTTCTGGTTGTCTCCCTGTAGGTCAGTGCAGAAGCATAAGGAAGAGTGACTAAGTGACTGTTCATCCACACGGAGAGGCAAAGATCAGCCTTTTTACTCTGTCTCCAATACACTATGTCAGCATGGGCAAGTCACTTCCATTATGCAATTTTTTTTCCACCTCTGCAATGATTTTATGAATGTTCAATTCATGTTATATAAGACATCTTGCAAACATGTACATGGGAACATGAAGGACATTTGCACTTAAAAGTTGTAATTTTGGTCATCTAAAATTCAGTCCTTACTTTGTGATCTGTTCCATTCTCAGAACATGTTATGGTGAGGAACATTTTAGCACTAGTGAAAATAAGCTCCTAATAAGAGTTTTGTGTGTCCTAGATTGGAAAGGGTAGTGACACATGATCCTCAATGAACAAAGATGTATTGCCAGATCATACATGTTCCTTCTCACTGACAGTGCTGTATGGCTATGACCATTATTAGCATCTCCATGGGCCCACACTAATAGCCAGTCCTGTTTGTAAAATGTACAGTCAAATTTGGGGGTGCTGTTAATAGTCTTACCTAAACATTGTGCTATGATGTAAAAATGATAAAAATATCATTAGCTATTATTTTAAAAGTTGATTCATTGTTAATCAATTGAACTTTGTGTCCAATCTCAGTTCTCACGCCAAGTAAGTTGAGCATGAATCAAGGATGGGAGACAAGAGCTCAAGGTGAGCTGTGGACCGCTCTCAAAAAGAACCTGAAAGATTTCTGTTTTACCTTCTCAACATCTTCCAGGCCCTCGGTGTCAAGCAGAACCAGGGTGTGGCCTGGCTTCTTGGGATGGGGCACGCACCACATCCAGATTCCTTTGGTGTGAGACTGTATTGTGGAGCCCAGAGAGAAGCCTGCAAACCAGAATTGGAAAGAGAGTGATTAAATACTGGATGCTTCCTCAAATTGAGTTAAAAATTAATATACTTACATTTATTAATTTTATTTTTATTTTATGTGCATGAGTGTTATGTCTGCATGCGTGTGAGTGCACCCACGTCATGCAGTGCCCACAGAGGACAGAAGAGGACGTGGGATCTGGAACTGGAGTTACAGATGGTTGTTAGCCACCATGTGGGTGCTGGGATTCAAACCCAGGTCTTCTGCCAGAACAGCCCCATGAGCCATCTCTCTAGCCCCCATACTTACATTTAAAAGAGTAAAAGCTGTAGTATTGGTTTTAATTACTGGCCTAGAAATAGAGAAGTTAGACTATCCAATACTAAGCAATACATTCATTTCTACCTTAGAGATGGAAACTTGCTCTTCCTAAATATCCAGTAAATGTTTAATAGTTCATTTTTAGGTAAGTTAATTTTCTCTATGAATTTGTTTTTTCCATTAAACTATACTAAATATGGGGAAGTAATGGCAGTGTTTAAAGAACCAGTGAGTGGGCTCTGATACAACGAAAAGAAAATCCACTGATGGATGAGTTATCCTTCCCTATTCCTCCCTCTAACTTTCCCCTCTTCTGCTTGCTGTTGACATCGTGGGTGGACAGAGAGGACCCTCAACAGTTTTGCTCACCTCTTTTCTTCCCAGCCAGGCTGTTCATTAGGTAGGATTTTCCTGTGCGGTAGAGGCCCACGATGGCCACCACCACCACCTTCTGTTTAATTGTAGACAAGATTTTCAGAGCTTCTTGGTTGACCAGTAGCTGCTGATCTGAGTTCTCAATGAGGCACATGGGTTCTGACATGTTGATCTGTGAAGACATGTCCAGGGTATTCTTTTATCTCTAAGGAAAAGATAAGATGGAAAACAACTTCTAGTCAGCTGAAATGAAAATAATGTGAATTAAAATTTTCTCCTATTCTTTAAGTTTGTTCTTTAGACATTTCTAAAAGTCCTGGGGGCCTTAATGAATGTCTTATAAGGTGGTCCACTGTCTCTATTTAAAAAGTAACTGTTTTGAAATTGATAGATACCCAGAAAAGTTGTGTGATAGATTCAGTTTGTTTTAAAATATTTTTTAAAACTTGAATTTTTATTTTATGTGTAGGAGTGCTATGCCTGCATGTATGTAAGTACATCCATGTTATGCAGTGCCCATGGAGACCAGAAGAGGGAATCAGATCCCCTGGAACTGGAGATACAGGTGGTTGTTGGCTGCCATGTGGGTGCTTAGGGCTTCTGGAAAAGCAGCCAGAGCTCTTAACCAACTGAACCATTTCTCCAGCCCCTCAAAGAGTTCTTGAATACCATTTCCCCAGCTTAGTAAATCCTGACATCTTACATACCCACAATCCAATGATGGAAACCAAGCTTCCCTATGTCTACGGTTCTCCTAGTGAGCCTACACGTGTTACAACTACCCTTTTGATCAGCTTTCCATGAATGTCCTTTACTGTTGCATGATCTAATCCAAGATTCCTTATTAGTGTTTATAGTGCTTATTAGTCTCTTTAGCTCTCTCTCATCTTCAATAGGTCTTTTTCTTTGTCTTTCATTATTTTGGCATTTTAGAAGAGTACAGGTAGCCAGTTATTCTGTAGACTATCTCTCAAGTTTATATTTTCTTTTGTTTTCCTATTATTAGTTTGAAAATATATTGCTGCATATTGCACAAGAAGGTCACAGTATTGATATTCTGCCATCTTTATTGACCAATCAAGGGATTCATGATAACATGAATTACTCTGATGATATTTTTTTTCAAATTGGTTATATCTCTACTTTGAAGAACTACTTACTATTTTGTAATTAACATTACCACTTGGATAGCTAATAAATATTTGAAAATATGTTCAATAATCTTAGGCATGGTTAAAAGTGCATTAAAATACTACTTCATTCCAGTAAGAATGTCTAGCATCAAGAAAATAAATGAAAAATGCTGCCAAAGATGTGAGAAAAAAGAAACCCTTTATTTATATATATGATTGTGAGTTAGAGATACTTGTATATCCTTTTCTATTGTTACACTATGCAGCTAGCCCAACTGCCCATCAGCAGATGACTGGAAAAAGAAAGCATAGCATATATAAAAAAATGCAGTTTTATTCAGTCATGAAGAAGAATGAAATTATATCATTTTCAGGAAAAATGGAAGGAACTGGAAATCACTGTGCTAAGCAAAATAAGCCAGATTCAGAAAGGTATTGAATGTTTTCTCACATTTGTGTTACTATACATATATGCCTGTATGTGAACATATGTACACATGAAATTACAAGAACAAGTATGACAAAGGATATCTAAAGAGAAGAAAGAGGGGATCAAGAGAGAGCATGGGAGAGAGACACAGCATCACGTGCATTACTCTCATAGAATTTAGATTTACATACATATATTCATACACACGTATATGAATGTACACACACACACATAT